ACAAATTGACTCTAATGAGACTCACAAAACTCCAGCTCTGTTACGCAATTTACATAATCATATGTCAAATACGAGAAGCAGTAGAAACAAACCTCACAACTAAAGAAAAACATTGAGGAATAGTATGTTTTAACGTGACACAGAGCCGTGTGTGGTTTGAAAATCTTAAACACTTGTCAGTAGATGATTCGCTTTTCCATTTTATACATATTTATTGTTTTTATATTTTTAGTTAAAATTCTTTTTTTTCTATCAGACCCATTTTCAAATTTTTATTTCTATTTTAAATAATATTTTATTTATTATTATCGAAGACTATTCACGATTAGCAATATCATATACACATATGTGCGTAACGGTAATAATATATACGTACACGGTAGTAATGTGTACGTACACGGTAGTAATGTGTGTGTATATATGTACGTAAATATCTAAATAATTTGTATATTTACGTTTCAAATATTTTTTGACTATAAAAACAAAACATTCAAATCATGTATGAACAACATATGAAAAAAATACAGTCATACAAATAACTGGCATAATAACTTAATTTTGATGTCAAAAAATTAAATTAATGTTGTACCATGTACGCTCCAATAAATATTTTTGTGTACGTACATAGTATAAGACTTATGTGATTTAGACATTTTTAGGATGTAACTGTTTGGAGAGGTCGTATGATGCGGACATAAAACATGTTGATGGACTAGCTGAGCTATTTGCTGAAGGACTCCCTGAAGGACTCAATGAAGGAATCGCTGATGGACTCGCTGACGAACCATTCTTACACTCAAGACATCTAAACCTCCTTTTCAGCCAGAAGACTCAAGCCACGAGGTTATTTCTCCTTCTCCAAGACGTCTCCCACTTCTTTCCATAACCGGCACCAACGCATCACCACTACTTATTCCCAACGGCTAGAAGATCACATCCTCTCCAAGTTATCATTTATTTCGCATATTTGTTTCCTTGTTTTCATTTCTTGACCATTGGAGGTCTCTTTGTCTCGAGCCTATATAAGCTCTTCTTCCTTGTTCTTTTCATGCACGCAATTTTCAAGTAATAAAAGTTCAGTTTGTTTGCTTTCAAAGTTATAGTCTTTGAGCATTTGTTTGAGTCATTTTCTTGGTTAATTGATTAGTTCTGGTTACTATTCGACTCCGTCACCACCGTTACAACACTTCCGCAAGACGTTACGCGTTGAATTCTTGATATAGGAAAGGAGTGACTCCGATCGTGTATCATCTGGTATCAGAGCTTAAAACGCTCCTATCTATCCAGGTTTACTCTTTCCTTTCTACAAATTTCAATTCTATTTTCAAATTCATAAACAAAAAAAAAACCAAATAAAAATCGTTTTGTTCATTTTCTTGTTCAATTTTTATTAAATTAGAAAACCAAATAAATATTTTCCTTGCTTTGTTTCATTTTCTTGAAGTCAAAGGTTTTGAGTTAGGGATTAGAGGGTCATTAAGGAGCATTTTCATGTCTTACTGGACTAGTGTACGTGTACATAATATATGTACACCATATTATGAATTTAATGTGAACACGGGGTAGTAGATGCAATTTTATTTTGAAAAATATATTTGTCGTATAGTTGTATAAGATGTAAAAGCGAATAACATCACAAGAAAACTTACAAAAATCCAATATACATATAAGATTTCATAACACTCTCAGATTAATGTAGTGTATGTTTATGTGTCATCTTCTAGTCGTGTACGTTTTCGTTTGTAGAATGATGTACGTTTTCGATTGTATGATGATGTACGTTTTTAATTTTGGATACGTCACCAATTTTGAAAAATACTTTACGTTTATCTCCTTATTACTATGTTCATCTTGTCTTATGACCGTGTACGTTTACCCTCACAAACTATCATCTGTTTGAAAATTGAGTACGTTAATCTTCAAAATAGCTTCATTCATTCATACATACATCAACTACATCATAAAAAATATAATAAAATGGATATCAACATATTAGTATTTTAATATAACAATTCAATGTTACATTAAATGGATTCTTTCCAAGAACCGATTCTACCTATCGCTGATCGAAAGGATGATGTCATCCCACAAGATATATCGGATATGATACTGATTCCTCCATACAGTAGACGACCACCAGGGAGACCAACCACCAAAAGGATGGTGATACCATCCAGGGGTGAAAACTGAGTAAGTTTTAACATTCTGACATGTGCACATATTTGCCTATATCTATGTTTAGAGTATAAGATGCGTTGTTTGTTAACTTATTGTTGTTGTCACTACTGGAAAAAAAAAACAGAAATACTTTTTCTGAATCAGTGTACAAGATGTAGACAAGCAGGTCATAACAAGAAGACTTGCAAAAATCCTATTTAGTTTTATGTCCTTGTTTTTTGTCACCGTGTAGACAGTGTACGTTTATGTCTGGACCATGTGTACCATATTTTTTGTCGGTGTACGTACGTTTAATGTTTGCCATCATATAACTATGTATGTTTCTGATATGTCTGTGTACATAAAATAATTCGATATTTTATGAGAATTGCCCCTCCCTTGGTACAATACTTCTCTTTTCCTGATTCCATAAGCCAATCACCTCTATAAACTTTTGTTGGGAAAGAAACCCTAAAATCGCCTCCATCGCCTTTCTCTCACTACATGAATATTGATCTTTCGCAGCGTCCAAAAAACGCTATCTAACGATACTATAGCGCTTTAACAAACGCTCTATCATCGTCCGTTATAGTAGATCGAAGACATAACATAGCAGTTTTTTTCATTGCTATCATATTTTCATTAAATATAGCGTTTTTTTTTTAATATGCAATTATATATTTTATATGGATCTGATTTTAATTTATAATTTTAAATTTTGATTTTTATTTTGAATTACGAATTCAAAAAAATCTAATTTTAATTTATAAATAGAAAAAGTAATAATTTAAAACAAAATTTAGAAAATATATTTTGTATGAGAAATAATAACTAAAATATCACAAAAAAAAAAGAAAAAATCTTCTACTCTTTCTCTCCGAATCCCTTTGCCTTCTCTTCAATTCTCTGCAGATCTTCAAGTCTTTGAATACCCTTTGCCTTCTCTTCAATTCTCTGCAGAACTTAACTCTTTGAATACCTGAAAGACTTCCATATTCTCAGATTCCTCATCCTATCAATAAAACTTAGCAACATATAAATCAAAATCTGTAAATAACAAGATTTTATTGAAAAGAACTCATACAAATCAATCATCACAAAATCAGGAAAAATTGAGACACTAACCTCATCAAGGCCTTTAGGACCAAAGACTAACAAAGCGACAACACCAATAACTAAAGCCTCAGGTGCTCCAACAGCAAACAAAGACGCAAAATTCATCGTACACTTACATCTTCTCTTCTTCTCTGTACACAATTACCCAAACCTCAGAAAAGTGAACATCTTTACAAATACCCAGAAACAAAAAAGAATCAATTTTGTGAAATCGTCACCTGGGTTTGAAGATTTGGGAGAAGAACCCATGAGAGAAAACCATGAAGAGAGGTTAGGCTTCGAAGCTTGAAACTTTATAACGGTTTCGAAGATCTGGGTTTAGAGGAAATTGAACTAAGAGAGGATCTCCTTAGTGGATATAGGATTAGGGTTTCAAAGAGGCGGAGGCGGCGGTAACTGAGATTGAACAGAGGAACGAAGGCAGCGGAAAACGGAGAGGAAAATAGAGCGATTGGGAGAGACCACAATATTGGTCCCTTCCCATGACCAGAACCTTTCAAACGGGTCACCGAACACCACCGCAATCAACCCAAGAACCCTAGAATCCAATTGATACCCACAGATCCGACCATCGAAACTCCATGGAGGACCAAAAATAAACCGATCCAAATGCCTCCGATCGAAAACCATCATTGTTGGGAAAGAAACCCTAAAATCGCCTCCATCGCCTCTCTCTCTCTCTCTCGTTTTTTTTTTTTTTAACTCAAAGATAGGATTTTATTAAGATTGACCATATCATACAAAGGCTTAAACAAAGCCCCAACTTTAGATTTACAGAAATAAAGAAGCCAAAAGAAAGGCCCATCAGATAACCAGACTTCTGCAGAAGCAATTCTATCTGAACTCCATCCATGGAACGTGTCGACAACCGGATATACCACGTCACACGCTGGATGAGTAATCAAAAGTTTTCCGGCAACAACCTTCGCCGTTGAGCGCCGATTCCGGTAAGAAATCTTCGCTGATATGAAATCAAACGTTGATTCTTGTGTTTTGCACCGGAATGAAGACATCGAAACTCCAAATTAAAAGATAACAGCTTAAGGCATCGTGATAAGCGATGGAAGAATCTTCTATTCTCCAACATAAGATGGAAATCTCCTTGAAACCATTCTGCAAACCCGAGTTCAAAAGAAAACGATCCGGCGAAACCCATCTTGAAGAGACAAGAAACAATCCAGATCTAAAAACTCAAAAGACATATTGGAGAAGAACTACCGTTAACGGACAGATAATCATCCCCAACATAGATCCAATGAGATTATTAGCAAAAACATAACAAATTTAGAAAGTAAAGAGAAACGATACCGGCCATCGCCACTAGAAAAGCTGATCGATGCCGGGCAGGAGCTAGCCACCGTTGCTGGAGAAGCCAATCGGTGCCAGACGAGAGCCGACCATCACCGTTGTGGAAAACGGAAGATGCCAGACATATAGCCGGATAAACACCGGACGGCGAGAAGAAGAACGCATTCTCTCTCTCGTTCTTCTTCTTCGTTTCTGCGCAAAATTTTTTTTTTTTTAATTCAAAACCAAACCGTAAAACAAAGAAAAAGTAACTAAACCGAAACCAACTATGCCATTTGGTTTAAGTCATTAGAGGTATTTTTGTCAGATTTTGGTTTAATTGTCAAAACATGAAAACCAAATCTCACTTTGCCAAAGGGTGAGATCAAATCTTTTTTTCATGTTAAACGTGAAAATTTCTTAAAATAAAAAGGGTGAGAGTTAGTTGCCGATATTCTGGCCGACAGACTTAGATAACGTTTGCAATATTGGAGTTGAAACGGTGAGGCAGCAGTAGCAATCTTGTCGCTTTTCCATAATAATTTTGTTTGACCAAGAGATGATGTTACATTGATAAGAGAACAATGGATTCAAAATTCAACAAATGAATTAGTTGCTCACACTCTACAGTATCTTTTCTTACGTATTACTAGATCTTTTGTGCACAAGTCTCCTAACCAATAATAAATAGAACCGGCGCCAACCTTTGAGAGTTTTAGGAAGCGTTTGGAAAGTGGAGAGAGATCAAATCCCCCTATTTTGATTCTTCCTTTGAGAAGAAATTTCGACCATGGTTAAGCTTCTTCAAGGTCCGCTTCCACCTAGCAAGGAGCTGCTGAAGAAGATGATAGAGCTAGAGCAAAGTCAGGAGCATCTAATGCAGGAGATGTCTCGGCTCAAGGTATCCACGGAGCTTAGGCAGCCATCGCATCCACGGAAGGAGATCCGTATACAGGGTTCCATGAATTTGAGACCATCGCCCTGGAAGTTCACTGATAAACAGTATCTCAATATTTTGCAGTCCATGGCACAATCTGTTCATGCCTTCGATCTCAATATGCGAATTATCTTTTGGTGAGTACTTTGACCTTGTGATTGGCCTTCCTATATTGTTCACCTCTTGATTGGTGTAGGTTTTTTATTTGGAAATGTTTAGTCAGATGCTATGATTCTGGAACCAAGAGATACTTTTGCATTGTTCAATATATTTATGTTATGTCCTCAAATTACATGATTGTTTCCAGGAATGCTATGGCGGAAAAGGTTTATGGGTACTCTGCTGCAGAAGCAGTTGGGCAGAACCCAATTGACGTAATGGTAGATGATCGGGATGCCCCCTTTGCAATGAATATTGCTCAACTTTGTTCCAATGGAGAGACCTGGACTGGCAAGTTTCCTGTCAAGAGCAGAACTGGAGAGAAATTTTCAGTTGTCACTACATGTTCCCCCTTCTATGCTGATGACGGTTCCCTTATTGGGATCGTTTCTGTCACAAGTGACGTAGCACAGTATCTCAACCCGAGAATCTCTTTGGCTACATTAAAGGCGTCAGAAGTTGAAACGAGCTCAAGCCCTGCAAGCAATAGTTTTGCCTTTAAACTTGGTTTGGACTCCAAAAGAGCTGTTGTATCCAAATTTGGCCTTGATTCTGATCAGCCTATACAAGTTGCTATAACATCAAAGATATCAGATTTGGTTAGTTCAATTGTATGTTGCAATTATCTCACTTTTTATCTTGCTGTTGCATGTTTTGACTAGTGCTAAAATTGCAGGCATCCAAGGTGAGAAACAAGGTCAGGTCGAAAATGCCAGCAGGTGATAGTAGTGTCACAGTGTCTGAGGGTGGCACTTGGGATAGTCATCATTCAGATCATGACGTATTCGGTGCTACTCTTTCTGACCACAGGGACGATGCAGCACCAAGAGGGGATTTTATCCAGTCTCCTTTTGGTGTATTCACATGTAACGATGACAAGTTTGCTTCCAAACCCTTCAAAGATTCCAGTGATGGAAAGCCTGTAACCCTTTTCACCTCAAAAGCTGAAGAATGGATGGTAAAGAAAGGTTTGTCGTTGCCATGGAAAGGGACTGAGCAGGAAGGTTCAAGAGTAAAGCCTTCTCATTCTGTATGGCCTTGTGTACAGAATGAAAAAAAGAAAGATAAGTCTCACCAGATCAATCCCTCTTCTGGTGTTAAGTCTAAAAGCCATGCCTCTGAAAGTAATAAGCCTACCAATAACAAGGCTTCTAGTTCGCGGTCTGCCTATATATATGTGAACAGCACAAGCAGCCCTAGTAGCCGTAAAACTATCAGCTACAGTGTTATGAGCAAGGTGGATACATATAGTAATTGCTTGGAGTATGAAATTTTATGGGATGATTTGACAATCGGAGAACAAATTGGACAAGGTGATTTATTCTCATAAACAAAATTCACGTTTTCCAGACTAGTCCATTCTTTATAACATCATACATTTTTGTGATTTTGTGTAATATTGAGTCCATCTTCTGCTGACATGCTCCAGTAATTTCCATTTTGCAGGCTCATGTGGAACTGTCTATCACGGTCTGTGGTTTGGATCTGTACGTTTTTGGCTTCTGATGATATTGTAGAATATGCATTTATTGATTTTATTCACCCTTCCATAAACATTTTCAAGTTCAGAGACTGTCTAATTAAGAGCTGCTAATGTCACCGCAGGATGTAGCTGTAAAAGTGATCCCCAAACAAGAATATTCAGAAGAGGTCATACAATCATTTAGACAAGAGGTATTGTTTTTACTCTTTAATCGTCCATTATGATTGCTCTGAGTGTAGTTTTGGCAAAATTCTGAATTTTACATGGGTCTTGCTATACTGTGAAGGTATCGTTGATGCAAAGACTTAGACATCCTAACGTTCTGCTGTTTATGGGAGCAGTGACTTTACCTCAGGGTCTCTGTATAGTGTCAGAATTCCTTCCACGGTTCAATCTCATCTCTTTTGGTTACTAGTCTCACTTTATTTGTGTTTTTGGGCCTTTAAGCCATATATTTCTTATTCATGCCCCTAATCATTTGAATAACAATTTTGCAGTGGAAGTCTCTTCAGTCTACTGCAGAGAAGTATGTCAAAACTTGATTGGAGGCGGCGTATCAATATGGCCTTGGACATTGTGAGTATTTGTTATATGTTCGTTAGACTTCTGATTTTTCCATTTCTGTGATCATTGACAGTTGCACGTAGACATTTTTGTATTTTGCATGTAAATATTCTTGTTCACTCTATTTGGCTCAGTCAACATATTACATAATTCTTCACACAGGCTCGCAGTATGAATTATCTTCACCGCTGTAGTCCACCCATCATCATCCATCGTGATTTGAAGTCGTCAAATCTGCTGGTAGACAAGAACTTGACCGTTAAGGTAACATGTTCATCTTGAAATACGTTTGGTTATGAATAATAATTTTCTATCTCCAAAATAATTATATAGCTTTCTAAAACGAAAACGAAGATTTAGATTTATGTATAAATTTGTCATTTTACGTGACTGAACTGGAAAAGTGAGACCCTAGATCTGCTAACTGGAACTAGAAACATTGTCAACTTACAGTGATATCTATGACAGGTAGCTGACTTTGGTCTATCGCGTAACAAGCATCATACATACCTAACCAGCAAGTCAGGAAAGGGAATGGTACTATTCTAGACGCTTATCGATTTGAATCCTGCTTTATAGTCAACCTCTAACATGATCTTGTTTGAATTTTGACTTATAATGTACCCTCAATGGATGGCACCAGAAGTTCTTCGAAATGAGTCTGCTGATGAGAAGTACATTATTCTCGTGTTCTGTTTGGTTAAGTTCCTTGATTACTTGTTTTTCTAACCTCAGTTGCTAACTAGCTCTGCTAATTCCTTGAAACAGGTCTGACATTTACAGCTTTGGAGTAGTACTATGGGAGCTTGCCACAGAGAAGATCCCATGGGAAAATTTCAATTCGATGCAGGTATTGTTTTTGACCGATGAAAGAAAGTGTCTCCAAATGACAATTGGTCCTAAAAATCACATATCTGTGCAACTTATATTTAGAAACATGTTTTGCTCTATCATTGAAACAAAAAAAATATAACAAGAATCTTTATGTCAAAAGATAAGTTTCAGGGTAAAGCTCAGTTAAAAATCTATCTAATTTCAGCTTCAGGTGACTCTATAAATAAATTGTACTAATTAGGAAGGAATGAATCATAAAAACCATTATACTTACTGTAATGTATAAACAAGTGAATTGTGCTGCTAGATATAGTCTAGCCATACTTGAAACAATATGTTGGCAACATCTTTACACACATACACTTTGAAATATCTGCAGGTGATCGGAGCTGTGGGGTTCATGAACCAGAGGCTGGAAATTCCAAAGGACATTGATCCTGATTGGATCTCATTAATAGAGAGCTGCTGGCACAGGTAAATTAACATACTGAACATTGCATAATCTTTGAATATAACCTTTACTTATTTCGGTTCTTCTTGATTTAGCACTGACATTAATTTGTGTTTCTATTTTGGTTTGTCCCGCCTGAAGCAATACAAAGCTGAGACCCACATTCCAAGAACTGATGGAGAAACTAAGAGATCTGCAAAGAAAGTATACAATACAGTTCCAAGCGATTCGTGCTGCGTTATCTGACAAGTCTCTTCTCAAGGACAAGTAACAAACCAAAAGTTGACCCTTTTCTCTGACGCCTTTTTGTTCACAAAAACAAAGAAAGAGAGAGAATTGGTCTTTTTGAACAGCAACGATTGGTGGGAACGTCCATGCTATGCTGGTGTGCCAATGTCTTCATCATTGAACAAGGTTATGGCATGGAAGATATCATTGAGGTTGACTATGGTTTAACGGAGTCTTCCTCCCCGGTACTGAAACGAAATCATTGAGATTGGTCATCTGTGCTCCTCTTTCTATGTTTTGACACCAATGTTGAAAACTATTAGCTAGTGAGTTTGACTCTGCTTTCTGACACTTTGATCAGTTATGCATAATGCTTAATTTGTGCTGACCACGGTCCATGCGTCTCTGGCGATGTTTGTGCCTTTTAAATTAATTACCGCATCAAAATTTTAAGAATAATAAAAGAAAGTCGGAAGTTTTATTACGATGAGTACATATGTAGGTATCTTCATTCCAGATTTAGGATGATGCTTTGATAAATTTCTTTTAAAATCTCGATGTAAATAATATCTTGAATGTACGAAGCTTTCTTTTTCTTTTTACGACAAGTTTTCTAATGAAACCAAAAAACATACAAGAAGAAAAAGAAAAAAATGGTGAGTGAGTTAGTTACACTGATATTTCAGCCGACGTACATTAGTCTTAGATACGGCGACCGATTACAATATTGAAGTTGGAAGCGGTGTTTCGGCAACATAAATAATGGTGCCGATTATTATTAGGTAATATACAAACAAAAAAAGAAGGATGTCGAATACACAGATCATGGTTTCTCGAGTCAATTTTCTTAAATTCCACTTTTCTAGAGACAGGAAACTTTGGTAGGGAGCGAGAGAGAGACACTCGACATCGATCTTTTCCATGATTCAAATCTAATCACTCTCTATTTCTCGACCATGATTCAACTCGCACGTTATTATTAGCTCTTCAGATTTCGGATTCCGTTTCCGTTTTTCTTTTGGACCGCAATGGAGGAGGAGCTGCTGAAGAAGATGCTCGAGCTAGAGCAAAGTCAGGAACTTCTAAAGCAGGAGATGTCTAGGCTCAAGCTCTCCACGGAGCTTAGGCAGCCGATGATGTTGCCGCGCCGGCCGTTGAGCCGTATCCAGGGATCACCCGGGAAGTTCACTGATAAACAGTATTTGAATATTTTGCAGTCCTTGGCTCAATCTGTTCATGTCTTAGATCTCAATACACGAATTATCTTTTGGTGAGTAACTTTTTTGGCTTCCTCCTGTATTATTATTGGAGGCTTTTCTTTTTTTTTTTGGAATTGTATAGTCAATCGCTATGATTCTGGATTTTATTTCTTCCTGATTTGTTCATGGATAGACGTTTTGCATTATAGTTGTGCATTGTTCTCAGATTAATCCATTTTGGATGACATGATTGTTCCAGGAATGCTATGTCGGAAAAGCTTTATGGGTACTCTGCTGCAGAAGTAGTTGGAAAGAACCCAGTTCATGTTATTGTAGATGATCAGAATGCTTCCTTTGCCTTGAATGTTGCTCGACGTTGTGTCAATGGAGAGAGCTGGACCGGCGAGTTTCCTGTCAAGACCAAATCAGGGGTCATCTTTTCAGCTGTCACTACGTGTTCCCCCTTTTATGATGATCACGGCACTATTCTTGGCATCATTTCTATCACAAGTGATATAGCACCCTATCTCAACCCCAGACTCTCTTTGCCTAAATTGAAGCCGCAAGAACATGCAAGGAACTCCAAAGGAGCTGTTTCATCGAAACTTGGCCTTGACTCTGATCATCCTATACAAGTTGCTATAGCATCAAAGATATCAAATTTGGTTAGTTCAATTATAGATTGCATATTCTGACCTTTTATCTTACTGTTTGCATATTTTGACTAGTGTTAACTTTGCAGGCATCCAAGGTGAGCAACAAGTTCAGGTCGAAAATGCGAGCAGGTGATAATAATGCTGACCACATGGACGATGCAGCATCAAGTGGTGCCAGCACATCTAGAGAGGATTTTATCCAGTCTCCTTTTGGTATATTCACATGTAACGATGACAAGTTTCCTTCAAAACCCTTCAAAGATTCCAGTAATGAGAGTGATAGAAAGCCTGCAATCCAGAAGGTTCCCACCTCAAAAGCTGAAGAATGGATGGTAAAGAAAGATTTGTCACGGCCATGGAAAGGGAATGAACAGGAAGGTTCAGGAGTAAAGCCTACTCATTCTCTATGGCCTTGTGTACAGAATGAACAAAAGAAAGGTAAGTCTCACCAGATCAATCCATCTTCTGGTATTAAGTCTGAAAGCCATGACTCTGAAAGTAATAAGCGTACTGATGATGACGAAGCTTCTAGTATGTGGTCTTCCTCTATAAATGCGAACAGCACAAGCAGCGGAAGTACCAGTAGGAGTGTCATGGACAAGATTGATAAAGATAGCTATCACTTGGAATATGAAATTTTATGGGATGATTTGACAATCGGGGAACAAATTGGACAAGGTAGTTTACTTCATAAACAGATTATCTTGTTGCCAGTCCATTCCTAATAACATCATACATTTTACTAATTTATGTGATATTCTCTGTCTGTTTAGCTAACATGCTCCAATAATTTTCCATTCTGCAGGTTCATGTGGAACTGTCTATCACGGTCTCTGGTTTGGATCTGTACGTTTTAGCTCCTGGCGATATTGTAGAATCTGCATTTGTTGATTTATTCACGCTTCCATGGTAAAATAAAATTCAAGTTCGGATATCTGTCTTATTGAGAGTTGCTAATGTCACCGCAGGATGTAGCTGTGAAAGTGTTCTCCAAACAAGAATATTCAGAAGCGGTCATAAAATCCTTTAAACAAGAGGTACTAGTTTTGATCTTTTATCCATAATAAGTGCTCTGAGTGTAGATTTGGCAAAATACAGTTGATATTTTCATTTTGTATTGGTTTTTAGTAGAACATCCAAAAATTCGAAGTTATTTATATTGGTCGTGCTTTTACTTTGAAGGTATCGCTGATGAAAAGACTTAGGCATCCTAACGTCCTGCTGTTTATGGGAGCTGTGACTTTACACCAGCGTCTCTGTATAGTGTCAGAGTTCGTTCCACGGTTCGGTCTCATCTCTTTTTCTTTCTTTGTGTTTTTTGGACCTTCAAGCCATAGCTCTTAATCATTTGAATTACAATTTTTAGTGGAAGTCTCTTCCGTCTACTGCAGAGAAGTATGTCAAAACTTGATTGGAGGAGGCGTATCAATATGGCCGTGGACATTGTGAGTATTTGTTATATCTTCATTAGACATCTGATTTTTCCATTTCTATGATCGTTGACAGTTGCACGTAAACAATTTTCAAAGTATGAGCTGCTCTATTTGATTACTTGTTTGTATTTTTCTTGTAAATCTTGTTGTTCATTCTATTTGACTCAGTCACCGTACATTACATGATTCTTCAAACAGGCTCGCGGTATGAATTATCTTCACTGTTGTAGTCCACCCATCATCCATCGTGATCTGAAGTCGTCAAATCTTCTGGTAGACAGGAACTGGACCGTTAAGGTAACATGTCATCTTGAAACAAGTTTGGTTTCCCGTAATTGAGATGAATAATAAATTTTTCATCTTCAAACTGATTATGTTGATTTCTACAACTAACGTGAAGATTTTGATTAAAAATTATCTGTTTATGTGAATGGTCTCCAAACTGGAACTAGAAACATCCTCCACTTACAGTGACATCTCTAACAGGTAGCTGACTTTGGTCTTTCGCGTATCAAGCATCAGACATACTTGACCAGCAAGTCGGGAAAGGGAACGGTACTTTAACTGGACTCTTTTTGATATGAATCCTGCTTTATATAGTCAACCTCCCAAAATGATCTTGTTTTGGTTTTTACTTGTAATGCAGCCTCAATGGATGGCACCAGAAGTTCTTCGAAATGAGTCTGCTGATGAGAAGTATATTCTCGTGTTCTGTTTGGTTAAGTTCCCTGATTACTTGTTTATCTAGCCTCAATCGCTGACTAGCTATTCTCATTCCTTGAAACAGGTCTGACATTTACAGCTTTGGAGTAGTACTATGGGAGCTTGCCACAGAGAAGATCCCTTGGGAAAATCTCAACTCGATGCAGGTATCGTTTTTGACTGATAGAGCGATGAAATGTCTTCACTGACAACAATTGTTCCTAGAAATCACATATTTGGGCGAAAATTATTTATAAACATGTTTTGCTCTATTAATGAAGCTGAAAACAACAAGAATCTTTATGCCAAAAGATTAGTTTCAGTGTAAACCTCTGTCAGTAAATTGTACAATTAGGAAAGGTAGGAACCATTATACTTGCAGAAATATGTAAAGATACAAGTAATCTGTGTTGTTATATATAGTCTAGCCATACTTAAAACAATATTTTTGCAACATTTCTACAAATTTGATGTTCTATATCCATCGCACCATTATACTGCTTTCTGGAGGAAAAATTCATTTTAGTCTCATTGCGCTTCCTCTTGAATAAAATACACACAAATCAAATGTGAAGAGATGCTTATTTGAAATATCTGCAGGTGATCGGAGCTGTGGGGTTCATGAACCAGAGGCTGGAAATTCCAAAGGACATTGATCCTGATTGGATCTCATTAATAGAGAGCTGCTGGCACAGGTAAATTAACATACTGAACATTGCATAATCTTTGAATATAACCTTTACTCATTACGGTTCTTCTTGATTTAGCATTGACATTAATTTGTGTTTCTATTTTGGTTTGTCCCGCCTGAAGCGATACAAAGCTGAGACCCACATTCCAAGAACTGATGGAGAAACTAAGAGACCTGCAAAGAAAGTATATGATACAGTTCCAGGGGACTCGTGCTGCGTTACTTGACAACCCTCTCCTAAATGACAACTAAACAAAACAAAGTTGACCTTTTTCTCTTATGCCTATTTGTTCCTAGACGCACCGCTTCGAGACTCGAAGACTGTTCATAAAAACAAAGAAAGATAGAGAATTGGTCTGCTTTTAGCGGCAACAAGTGGCCATGCTATGGTGGGGTGCCCATGTCTTCCATCACTAAACAAGGTTATGGTGTGGGAGATGTCATTTCGCTATGCAAGCGTAATCTTGAGGCCTCAGATTGTTTGGTTTCACATGTAAACGCAGAAATTGGCATCTGAAACAATTGACTTTCTCAAAAGCAGCAGCAGAAACAGAGGATCACAACACGATGGAGATGCTTCTGAAATATGCACGGTCTAATCTCCTTGCTGTGAAGTACTTGGAATACGCATTCCAAGTAGAGACTTACACTCTCTCTAAAGCCAACAACCTCCTACTCAACGTCGACGGAGCCATTAGATATCTCTTCTCGAACCTTCTTGGCAGGAGTAGGATCAGGATGTTCACTTAGAAAGAGATTGGTTATCGCAGCGGGCTCTTCATCCTCGCTAGATCCATCGGTTTAATCGGGTAACTCTCCTAATAGGACACATTCATCATGTTCTTGAAGCAATTTGATTTTATTTGATCCACGAATATAAATGGTCGCAGGCAGACATTCGACAAAAAGAGACAGAAGCAGCCATTGTACACTAGTGGGAAGATGTCTGTGATTTCCCATTACTTTCTGGTTATTAGTTATTACATCCATCCAAGTCCCATTTATTTAGTAATTTTTACAACGTCTCAGTAAATTTTCTTAAGTTGTTATACGTCTTATGTTGATAACGTATCATTGTTTCAAATTTAAAAGAATCATGTAGTTCGATAAATTTCGAAATTCTTACGAATCAATAGTTTTTCTAATCGAAGCAATAAAATTGCCACCAAATTCAAATAAAGGTGAAGTCAACATTTTTACTTATCTTAGAAAAAATGGGTTTATTTCCGAAAATTGGGTGTTCAAGCTTCTTGAATGGATTAAGCTTTTTCCTTCCACGATAAGTTATTGAATCTAAAAAAAAAAAAAATATCTTGAATTTTAAATTAAAAATAAAAAATCTTGAATCGGTCATATCCAAAGCTACCATGGCAAGATAGCATTTATTTAATGAAGAAAGATATCAGCAAAAAAGGAATTTGAGGAAATATGATGATTTCAATATAAAAAGGTGAGTTAGTTGCCGATTTTTTTGGCCGACAGACAAGATTGCGATTGCACTTTTGGAGTTGAAGCGGTGTGGCCACGAGTTCTATTAGATTTTGTTATTTTTCTTTAATAATTTTCAGTATTATGTGTATTTTTATAAATTCGAATTCAACCTTCACACACAAAAATTGGATCTAAAACAAAACATTCACGGAAAGTAAATTATTAGATATCAACAAAGAAAAATGTAGAAATTCCTCTGCTTATGAATTATAGTTGTCAATAATATCTTCTTACCAAAAAAAAAAATATATATATATATATATATATAGTTGTCAACAGTATCTAGACACTGCATCTTTCTTATGTGACTGGTATTTTTGTTTCTATCTGCCTAACCAACAAATTGTCGAGTAACCAATAAATTAGAACCGGCCAACCTCCTCTTATTTTTGTTTCTCTCTCTCTAACGTTCCAATTTTTAGGTCAAACCTTTGTATCCATTAGAAATATTATAGTTATACCTCTTTTTAAATTCAGATAAGTTTCTCGATCATGGTTTAACTGGTTATTTTAATAAAACAATCTACCGCAAGATAATAAACAAAGCATCTTTTTCCACTTCGTGATATTAATATCTCGTTTCCAAATCAGTCGTTTTTGTATTATGTAATGTAGCATTACCATGAAACTGTTACGTCCAAATAATTGGATCACAAATTTTTTATCATTCATTAGTTTTTTTTGTTTTATATAACTTTTGGACGACTTGATCAACGTGTAGTGGACATGAAGGTGATATAAAAAGACAGAACTTGGAACAGAACAATCTACTCAGTAGTCGGTAGATTATACTGTAACGGGATTCAAAAAAAAAAAATCAACAGAGAAACATGTATCACTCATATTATGAGTTAGGTGCCACAAGAAACATGTGATCTAGCTAGTGCTTAATAAGAAGAAAAAAAAACTATTTTGTACAAACATGTTACAGTATTAGGTGCTAATTAATAAAAACCACTTGGTCTTAATTGCAAAAGCAAATAAGGAGAGTCGTCCACATGAATTTTTGCCTCTTATTATGTGTCCATTTAGGAAGATTTTACCTCCACAATGAATTAAAGCTTCTTTACAAATTAGTGATTTATTATGATGCATCCTGTGTATGTATGACACTTTTTATATACATAGGACTCCCAAGTCCCAAGAAATCAGGAACAAATGTATTCATCTTCTTTGTTCATTCTTTTTTTTTTATTATTTTTTTTTCCTTTTAGACAGTTTTCAACAAAAATCCCTCTTATATAAGAAAAATAATGCTTATATGGAACAATGAAACGAAATTACCTAATTTTAGATGAATCAACATTTACAGTTTACAATCTAATACAGAATCTTTTTCCAAAGAATCTAATACAGAATCTACCCAAACAAAATAAAGAAATTTATTTTTACTGGAAAAAGTAAAAATAAGCCGCCAAAAAATTAAGAAAAAAATAAATATCTAAAAAAGAAAAATCAAACAAAGAGAAGAAGAGAATCAAAAAGTTGTAAAAAATGAAAAAGAAGAAACGTACAAGGAGAAAAAAGGTTTCCATTATTGTTGACTGCTTGAGAAAAAGATTAAACGTTTCTCTCGCGTCATTTCAATTCCATTTTCTCTACTTTTGTTCTTCGGTTAGGGAGCCGAGAGATATAGTCAAAATCAAATCCCTTATTTCGACATGTATTAAGCACTAAGCAGCTTCTTCAAGGTCCGATTCAACTCGCTTAGATTTGATCGGAGGAGGACTACTTGTTGTTGTTGTGGTAGGGTTTTACCGATTTTGGAGCTCAATGGAGAATCCACCTGCGGAGGAGCTGCTGAAGAAGATACTAGAGCTAGAGGAGAGTCAGGAGCATCTAAAACAGGAGATGTCGAGGCTTAAAGTATCCACGGAGCTTAGGCAGCGATCGCATTCGGTGTCTCCTCATCGTCCGGCGAGGAGAACTATCGGCGAGGGAGCTCCGGCTTGGAGGAAAAGCGGTGCCGCCTCGTTTCGTAACGCTTCGCCGTTGCGGAAGGAGAGCCGTATCCAGAATTCGATGAGATTGAGGTCTGAAGTTGGTGGCGGGGGACCATCGGCTGGCAAATTCACTGATAAACAGTATTTGAATATATTACAGTCCATGGCACAAGCTGTTCATGCCTTCGATCTTAATATGCGGATAATCTTTTGGTTAGTAGTTCCATCTTGTGAATGCAGTTTATGCTAGATTTCTAATTAGGGAGTAAGATGTGATTTCATTGATTTGCATTATACTTTTGCGTTGTGCATTTGTGTAATTTGGTATTCCTTCCAATTCGATTACATTATTGTTTCAGGAATGCTATGGCGGAAAAGGTTTATGGGTACTCTGCAGCAGAAGCACTTGGGGAGAACCCTATTAATGTTATTGCAGATGATCGAGACGCTTCCTTTGCAATGAATATTGCTCGACGTTGTGTCCGTGGAGAGAGCTGGACTGGTGAGTTTCCTGTCAAGAGCAAATCAGGTGATAGATTTTCAGCTGTCACTACGTGTTCCCCCTTCTACGATGATGACGGTGCTCTGATGGGGATCATTTGTATCACAAGTAACACGGCACCATATCTAAACCCAAGAATCTCTTTGGCTAAATTGAAGGCGCAAGAAGAAGGTGAAACGAGCTCTATCCCTGCAAGGAATAGTTTTGCCTCTAAACTTGGCTTGGACTCCAGAGGAGCTATTATATCCAAATTTGGCCTTGACTCTGACCAGCCTATACAAGTTGCTATAGCATCGAAAATCTCAGATTTGGTTAGTTCAGTTGTAGGTTGCATATCCTCACCTTTTATCTTGCTGTTACACATTGTGACCTGTGTTAAAATTGCAGGCATCCAAGGTGAGCAACAAGATCAGGTCGAAAATGCGAGCAGGTGATAATAGTGCCACACTCTCGGAGGGTGGCAGTGGCGATAGTCATCATTCATATCATGGTGTCTTCGGGGCTACCCTCACTGACCACAAGGACGATGCAGCATCAAGTGGTGCCAGCACACCAAGAGGGGATTTTCTCCAGTCTCCTTTTGGTGTATTCACATGTAATGATGACAAGTTTGTTTCGAAACCCTTCAAAGATTCCAGTGATGAGAGTGATGGAAAGCCTGCAATCCATAAGGTTCTCACCTCAAAAGCGGAAGAGTGGATGGTAAAGAAAGGTTTGTCATGGCCATGGAAAGGGAATGAGCAGGAAGGTTCAAAAGGAAGACCTACAAATTCTGTATGGCCTTGGGTACAGAATGCACAAGAGAAAGAGAGGTCTCACCAGATTAATCCCGCTGCTGGTGTTAATTCTGAAAGCCATGCCTTTGAAAGTAATAAGCCTATCAATAATGAGGCTTCTTGTTTGTGGTCTTCCTCTATAAATGCAAACAGTACAAGCAGCGCTAGTAGCTGCGGAAGTACCAGCAGCTGTGTTATGAACAAGGTTGATACTGATAGCGAAGGCTTGGAATATGAAATTTTATGGGATGATTTGACAATTGGAGAACAAGTCGGACAAGGTTATTTATTCTCTCAAGCCTGTCACATCCATTCTTAATAGCATAATATTTTTTATGTGATATTCCGTCTCCGTTCTGCTAACATGTAGTAATTTCCATTTTACAGGTTCATGTGGAACTGTTTATCACGGTCTCTGGTTTGGATCTGTACGTTTTTTGTCTTCTGGTGATATTGTAGATGCATTTGTTGATTTATATATGCATCCATAAGAAAAAAAGGAATTCGCAAGTTCAAAAATCTGTCTAATTAAGAGCTGCTGATGTCACCGCAGGATGTAGCTGTAAAAGTGTTCTCCAAACAAGAATATTCAGCAGAGGTCATAGAATCTTTTAAACAAGAGGTATTGTTTTTGATCTTTCGTGATAATGATTGCTCTGAGTTTAGTTTTGGAGAAGACACGGCTGACATTTTTATTGGTTTTTAGTATAACCAAAATCTAAATTTTGTCTTTCATATCTTAGTAGTCAGATTGCTTCTTCAACGACAAAATTTTTCTGTACTAAAAGCATATTCACTTACAAACTGCATCTTCCTGAAGAATGAATCGTTTCTGAGAACAGCTAATTCCAAATTCCAAATTATTTATGTTGATCTTGTTTTATTGTAAAGGTATTGTTGATGAAAAGACTTAGACACCCTAACGTCCTGCTGTTTATGGGAGCTGTGACTTCACCTCATCGCCTCTGTATAGTGTCGGAGTTCCTTCCACGGTTCGGTCTCATCTCTTTTGGTTACTACTCTCACTTTCGTTTTTCTTTTTTTGGACCTCATGCCAATGCCATAGCTCTGATCTATGCCCCTAATCATTTGGATTACTATTTGCAGTGGAAGTCTCTTCCGTCTACTACAGAAGAGCACATCAAAACTGGATTGGAGGCGGCGTATCCATATGGCCTTGGACATTGTAAGTGTTAGTTAGTTACACACATTCACTTGACATGTAACTTTTTCATTTCTATGAGCATTTACAATTGCATGTGGACAATGTTCTAAGTATGAGCTACTCTATTTGTTTACTTCTTTGTATTTGTCTTGTGATCATTCTTTTCCCCTCCGATTTGACTCAGTCACCGTACATCTCATCCAGCATATTACATGATTCTTCACACAGGCTCGCGGTATGAATTATCTTCACCATTGTAGTCCACCCATTATCCATCGTGATCTGAAGTCATCAAATCTGCTGGTAGACAGGAACTGGACCGTTAAGGTAAGATATTCATCTTGAGATACATTTACTTTCCTGTAATCCAGATGGATGATAATCACTATATAGCTTTCGAAAACGAAAATTAAGCTTTAGAAAAATAAATCGTTTTATGTGAATGAACTGGAATAGTAAGACTCAGATCTCCAAAATAGAACTAGAACATCGTCAACTTACCTGGATATCTCTACAGGTAGCTGACTTTGGTCTCTCGCGTATCAAGCATGAAACATACCTAACCAGCAAGTCTGGGAAGGGAACGGTACTTAATCCTGACTCTTATTGAATTCAATCTTTTTTTCTAGTGAATCTCTCACAATGATCTTGACTGAATTTTTACTTGTTATGCAGCCTCAATGGATGGCACCAGAAGTTCTTCGAAATGAGTCTGCTGATGAGAAGTATATTCTTGTATTCTGTTTGGTTAAGTTCCCTTGATTAATTGTTCTTCTTTGCCTTTATCGTTAACTAGCTCATCTAATTCGTTGATACAGGTCTGATATTTACAGTTTTGGAGTAGTATTATGGGAGCTTGCCACCGAGAAGATCCCATGGGAAACTCTCAACTCCATGCAGGTATCACTTTTGATAGATAAAGAAATAATAAGAACTCCAAGTGACACTTTTATCCTAGAAATCTCAAATTCGGGAAAACTTTACTTGTAAACTACATTCTCTGTTCTGTCAATTATGCTAAAACAAATAACAAGAGTATGTCAAGAGATTAGTTCCAGGGTCGATATGTTAAAATCCGTCTAACTGGACTAATTAAGAGAGCGGGAACCATATAAACCATTGCACTTGCTGTAAAATGTAAAGATAGTGACATATGTTCTATATATATATATACTATATGACATCTCTACGAATTTGATGTCCTAATTCCATTGCACAAGTTGATTGCCGAAAAGTTCCATCTGATGTCCTAATTTCATTGCACGACTTGATTGCCGAAAACTTCCATTTTAAGTCTCACTGCATATCCTCTCATATATATAAACTTAATCCAACCAATAGAGCAATCTAGGTTCAATTCCTCCTCAGTATATGACTGGAACATTGATGGTATACTTGAGTACAAATATATATATACACATGAATCAAGTATGGAGAGATGCTTATCTGAAATATATGTAGGTGATTGGAGCTGTGGGGTTCATGGACCAGAGGCTGGAAATCCCAAAAGACATTGATCCTAGTTGGATCTCATTAATGGAGAGCTGTTGGCACGGGTACATTAACATATTGAACATTGCATAATCCTTGTGAAACCTTTAATTATTATGGTTCTGCTTGATTTAGGTGTTCTACATGTTTCGCAGCTGATGCTGACATTGATTTGTGTTTTTATTTTGGTCTGCCCCACACGGCAGTGATACAAAGCTGAGACCCACATTCCAAGAACTGATGGAGAAACTAAGAGACCTGCAAAGACAGTATACGATACAGTTCCAAGCGACTCGTGCTCTTCTCAAGGACAACTAAACAAAACAAAATTTGAGCCTTTTTGCCTTTTTGTTCCTCAGTGCCCTGCTTCAGGACCCGGAAGACGTTCATGAGAACAGAGAAAGATAGAGAATTGGTCTGCTTTTGAGCAGTAGTAACAGTGGGTTGGTGTGTAATTACAACATGGAGGAGACTGATAAGCAGAGACAGCCACTGAAATTATGGGAGTTGTGTTGTGATGTATTTGGGTCATTACACAAACTACCAAAAGAAACGTATGGCTCAGGTTAGTTACTGTAGTTTTGGTGGTCGGTTTCTGCTCTCTATTTCTCTGGTGGAAGCTTAAAGAAAGGGCCTGAAAGGGATTTGATGTGAAGTTAATTGCAGAAATACCACGTGCTTGCATATGTATTAGTTGGGTAAGTGGGCAAGAGATTGCACTTGCATATATTATTATTTACTAAACATTTAGAGAAGAAGAAAAAAAATAGGGAGTGGGAACACTAGTTCTTAGTGAATATTGCGACACCAATTTTTTTTGGAACAGATATTCATTGGGGGATTATGTAGTTTTATTTCGAATTAGTTTTGAAGCCAAAAGAATCCATACCAACGTTGAAAGGTTGTCAAATTAGAAGTTAGCACTAACCTACAGGTTAATCATCAAACTTCTGGTTGTGCATCCGATATAAGAATTTATCAGTCTAATTTAAACATTTTCTAGCAACTATTAGAAACATGGATGTATTTCAATTTTGTTTTGCATTGAAAGTAGAACAGTACCAATGTTCCATGATTATCCCACAGGCTTTTTATAGCTCCAAGACCAAGTTAACGAGGAACAACACTCTTAAACTCCTGATAATAAGATTGAAACTTCAAACTTCAGATTGAAACACAAAATCTATTGTATCTGTATTCAGGGCTTCTCAGAGAGACTGATTCAGCAATAGACAATTTCAACTCAGTTAAATATTAGGAGACTTGCTCTCAACCCCTCAAACAAACCAAAAACCTTGGAAGTAATAAATAATCCTGGTCCATCATAGAGGATATCGTGAAAGCAATTCCCTAGTCGCAGCAACCGCATCACCGTTGTACTCCCTTAGAGTTCTTTCCGCCACATTCTTTTCTACCTGCTCATTTACAATGGTGACAAACTTCAGAACTTTGTGAACACATGCATAGAAGCTTGAGATGGTTAATAAAAAGAAGCTAACCTCGAGTTCGTTTACAATAAACTCAACATCTGCAGGATTGATCTTCACAGAGGCCAGTTCTTTCTCCCTGCATAAAATTCCAACACTTTGAAAAGTCTAATCATCTTTTCCGAAAGATGATATTGGCCCGTAAATCACATTGAATCAATTAGTACTAATAACCACCACTTGTTTTGTTTGGTCATTCTCGCTGTGTTTTCTCTTGTAAAAGCTCTTACAGCACAATTGATATCTGGCGCCAATACTATCTAGATGTGAGTAATGTCAAAAAAACAAACAGATTCCCCAAAATTTACTCTTTTAATCTACTAAATAGATAGCCTTCAAGTGAACCAACCAAACCCCAAAAAAAAACATAAACACCAATTTTTACCGAGACATTAGCTACAGTTTCAACTACAAGTATAATGCAGTAATCAAGTTAATTCTAAATTAGGATTGAAAACAAACAAGTTTGACTTATGTTATAGCTTCCTTACGCATTGCTAAGAATCTCCTTTTCCAGAATTTAGAGCACGAGAGAAAGCTAAGAGTTTTTACCTCAACCTCTTAGCATTCAGATCAGCCTCCCTAGAAGCAGCAATCGAAGCCATAGCCTGAAACACGGTACCGACTTTTCAATTTGCTAAATCGAGCTCAAAAATTTCAGAATTCCTAATATTTTCAGAAATCAGGACATGAAAGAGTAACAAACCGATTGAACACGAGAGGAATCGAGCTGGCGATCCTCGACACGATCGGTGAGCTTGTCGAAAGCTTTGCTTTGTTGCTGCAAGTCCTTTGAATCAACCGCTATCTCAGCCCCAGCTTCCTCTGCTCCCTCCATTGCTTCTAACTTTTCTCTTATCTCTCTCTCTTTCTTCCTCTTTGAGTTTCGGTGAATGAAGTCTCCGGCAACAGAGATTTTCAGGTTCGAAAGTGTTTCTAGCTTCGACGTGTTAGAAACCCTAAAGGCTGATTCTATCGGGTGAGGCTGTAACCAAACCGGCTACGCAATACCAAAACCGAACCGAAGTCCGGTTTATTAGGTTGATTTTGCGGTGAGCGAGAGAGCGATCTATATTGGGCCTTGAATAAAAATAGTTATCGGCCCTTAAGCCCATGGAAGAAGCGTACTACAAATAAAAATATCTTGCTTGATATTTTTTTAGTTCACACTATTTCACATTTACGAAAACTAACAAGCTCCAAATTTGAAAACATTGGAGAGAGATGAAGGAAATTCAAATTCCCAGGAAAAACTTCGCGCGCTCATCAGATCTCGGAGCTAAGAGACTCAAGGACCCTGAGATGAAGAATCGAAAGGTAATTTGATCGGATCGATCCTTAAAATCGCCATTGTTTCTTCTTTCTCCATTGTTCTACTGAGATTCCAATCAAATTTTGCTTCTCTGAACTGAAGATTACGACGGAGAAGAGACAGAGCGCAACATTTTCCGATGTATCTTTTGAAAGCACAAAGGATTCAATGGATTTTACTCCGATCTCTCAGATTTCTGGTCCGATCTCTGATTCCGAGGCTGAGGTATGCTTCGCTCCACGTTTTAGCTAGGTTTCGTTTCCATCGAAGTTTTCTGTTCTGTTGCTTTGTAAACGCTCAGATCCGTTAAGATTAGATGTTTAATTTTCGAAAATTGAATCGATTTGGTCTGTGCTTGCTGACGAATTGGAAAAATTAAACCTCAATCGTAGCCATTTTGTGTTTGGGTACTATCTGATGATGCTCGAATTATGTTGTTCTCTCCTCAGAGTATTATTATGCAAGGATCGAGCCCAGACTTATTGTCAACGCCTAAAATTTGTCTTCCGGCAGATGATTCTCCAGTTTCAACGATTACTAGTGTGGAGGCTCGTATTGACACTTCTTCTACTGATCGGATCCAGTCGATTGTGGACTTGCCTGCTTCTGTGCAGTCCTTGCGTGCGGAGATCAATGAGCTAAAAAAACTGATCTGTTCGGCTGAAAATTCTGCAGAAATTAACTGGGTCGACGGAGTTGTTACTATGAAATTCCGCATTGTGCTTTTGAGTTTCATCCTTTGGGCTATCTTAGCTGCGATTGTGGTCTTCTTCAGCTCAGGAGAGGAAGTTGCTTACCGTGGACTACTTCCAACATGATTCTGCAAGGTAATTTACTTTAGGTTTCTTAACTTTGCTTCATTGATTCTGGTTTCCTTTTCATAGGATGATAACTTGCATAGGATTGGGGTTGTATACTGATTTGCCTTCGATAACACGTTTATCCTGCTTGTCATTTCATGTTGCATCTGTGCTAATGAAGGTCCCAGCTGTTTAGTTTAAGTTGGCTGATAGCATCTCTAGAACTTCATCACTATTAACATATGTCTCCACCAAAGGAAAGTCAGTTGTAACATTTTTTGTTGGTTTTTTTAGAATTCACTCTTTGAATAACTGAAACACACATTCTCTAGTAAAAGTAGTACAGATATCTCAGTGAAGTCTTATGCGGTAGAAATGCAACCCACTTCTCTCTCTGACCTTGTTTGTTGAATGTTAAACTTCGTCAGCCTTCTGATTGAATGTTTGAAATTTTGGCACATGATAGGCCCAAAACCAAGTAGTCTCACTAGATCCATTGGTAGGTTGAGAGTGAGTTTGCAAATAGGCCTCATAAGCTGCTAGTTAGTCTCATTCATAATAACCAATGAAGAATCCCGAACACTTTATTGGCACAACTGATATGACACTTGATCGTCTCATCTATGGTGACTTGTCTTATCCAAATGCAAAGTCTTCTCTGCATCACAGATTTGAACATAGGCTTCTGTAGCATTTAAGTTGCTAGGTTCTAATATACCTTGATGTGTTCCATTCTTAGCTCTGTTTGATACAATGTAATGCAACCCCACCTAATTTTTTTGCTTGTTTCCATGTGCATCTCAAATCGATAGGTTATATAGATCTTACCAAGACATGTGCTAGCCTTTGTTTCCATTCTTATGCAAGCTGTTCTTTACATTTTTTGTATATTAAGCCAGACAAATCCTATGGAAAGTCCAGCCTGTGAAGGTTTTTGGGTAATTACTTGATTTGATCTTTCATAACTGTTTGGATAAACTCTTCGAGGTGTTAGGTTAGGTTTATTCTCCATTATGGATAATTATACAAAGATTAGGATTTAGAAACTAGTACTGTATATAGAAAGTGAATGACAGAATAATCCAGACTGGTCTTTGGCTTCTCTACTGGAGATTAATATAGTAGTAGGCCACTAAACACCAGAGAATAAACTAATATATGCCATGTATTAAAGAGAAGCAGCTCTTGTTGGCATACTTTGGAAGTAAAGTTTCTGTGTGATTAAAGAAAAATCCGGCTTAGTGGGTTGAAATAGTGGAAACCAATTATTGGAGTTTTTTTGTTTTTTTTTTTAATCAGTCTTGTCCTTGTGTCTTGACTCTTGACATTGATTAATGACCATATTTTTTGTATTATATAAGCACTAGTCTATATCATTTTTCTTGCTTAATTCGTGGCGTTTGTATAGTTCAGTCTATGACTTTTCGGTGAGAAACTGAGTCTTGCTTTCGAATTGGACTTCCCACTGGAGATATAGGAGTAAATATTTTTCACAATCTTTGAAGAAAAGCTTTGTATTAAACCTAGGCAAATCATGGTTGGAAATTCAGCTTTTCGATTCACAACAAAGATTGTCATTGGTCAAGTAATTGTCACGTTTGCTCAGTGCTGTTGGTAAAATAATGATAGCAACTTAAGAGTTAGGCTTCGAAATGCTTATAAATTAGTGTACGTAATCTAACAATAATCATATTTGTGCTATTTGAACAGGATTTGTGAGAAACCAGGGACTACTTCTCCTGAAGCGAAACATGTAAAAGTTGGAAATATCATTTGAAAAAAATTCATATACAGGTTAGTGTTTCAATATTAGCCTCTGAAAAGTGTTGTTAAGTTGATGTTAAATTTACCAAAAGACTATTAATCATTTCATATTAGCAATTCATAATAGACCCGTTGAAAAAACAATGATTGAGCATCATCTGTTAATCTAATCAATACTTCACTTTTTCTTCCTTTAATAAGAAAATAGTCCTTCTCCTTCCATTGTCTGTCGTTCACTTAGTTTCTTTGGTGTCTAGAATTAGGGAGGCAATCTCTGTGCCACCTTCATCATACTTAATAGTTAATTTTCCTTTTCTTATCAACTTTTTCATTAATATATAAAAATAAGAAAAAGAGAAGGAAAAACTCATTACATATATAACGGAATTTTTCATTTTTAATACTTTTTCACATGTATATAGATATAGATTTCCAAAACTCCTTTAAATAATTTACTTTTACGTTTTTTTAAAAAATCTCTGAGAACCTTTTGTATAATAGTATCATCCACACACATGCTGCAATTATTTCTTACAAGTTATAACAAATATGGATAAGCTTCGTGATTATTTCCAATTTAATTTTTATTCTGTCCATATAGCCTTAGGACATAGGGTTCCAGATTTCTAATGTGTATACCCCTTTATTAGTACATCGGGATCAGGTCCACGTTTAATGGCTGGCCTCTTAATCCGTTCAATGTTTTTGATTAGGAGAGGATCTCTTACGAAATCCCCATATATAGTACTACTAGCTTTTTATAATGATTTGCAAATAAATTTTAAAAACCTTAGACAGCTGAAATTTATGATTTACAGTAGTAAATTTGCATAGTAACAAATTTGAACTTCCGATCCGAAATATATTTATTGAATTAATGGATCGGAATCTAACAATTACTGCCAGCAATCTTTGTGATACATGTTTTTTTTATTGTTGTTGTTGAAGCACACGAATCGCACATACGAAGAGTAGTTTCTTTGACTCAGTTCGTAAAACAGATTGAAGTATCTAAATCGAAAAGATATTCTTAAATTCGAAGTAGATAAACTATTTTATTGTAAGTGACACTTTAGTGAATAATTGGATGTGTTGTTTCTTTTCATACTAATTTGTCATGTGGAATCATTCTAGCTTATAACTTTTTTAAGGTACAGAGAATAGGCCACGTTAGTGACACAATAATTTACCCTTATGTTAAATGAATATTAAACATTGCGCTATGTTACTAACATCCTTTCCATCCTCACATTCTACGCCTAAAACATCTTAATACACTATATATGCTAATGTGGTATTTTTATGTCTAACAAAAACTAAGATAGTTATTTTCCAATTTAACTGCTAATCAAAACTCAACATAATAAACTGTAAAAACAAACAAAAAATCAAAATAACAGAACAATTTTCTACAAAATTAAGTTGATCCTAGCTTTATTTATATATGAATTAACCAAATGGAGAAGTTCAGAAGCTCCATTTCAAATGGCGCCACTCCAATATATATGTACTTTACCCACAAACTTATTAATCTAATATCTACTTATACATATATACAATATTTAATGAAAATTGATTCATACATGTTGATAGATTAAATCTTCATAAAATAAACGAGTTAATTTCAGTGATCTTTACAGGAAAAACCCAAAAAAAAAAAAAGCCTTAAAGAGAGGCAGTGCCACTAACCCTACATCGCACATGCATTTCGTTTGGTATATTACTTTATGCGTAAAGTAGTATTTTAAATACAAATTTCTATATTTACGAAATCATTGCACTGAATACAAAATCCAAAGTTTTGAGTTTTTAGCCCCTCTCTTTTTGCCTTGTCAGTCCATTAAACGACCACTATAAGTCATAAATGGATTTCTCCAATAGTAATATGACACGTCATCATCCCATTTGAATCTACCTTCCTCCTCCATTCCACCAAAGTATCGGCCTTTATATGACGCATCACGCATACGATACAAGTTTGTTTGTTTTTTTCTTAAACATCGATAAATAAGGTTATTTACTAATTAAGATTGAACTCTAAACATGATGGGAAGCAATCATTATGAATGATCTACTCACATTAAGATTTTTGTAGCATTTCCACATCTGCATTCAGTTTAACATCATCAGTTTTTTTTTTCTTGCGTTAATCAATTTTTTGTACGGCGTTTTTATGATATATTGACAATGGTATGTGACTATCATGTCTTTACTGCCTCTTTAGATTATGTGTATAAAGAGCGCAAACTCATTAATTGTATCAAATTTTGGTATATTACGTCCTTTCTTAATATCTCTGTTAATGGTAGTAAAGAGGGTAAGTTTAAAAAATTCAACTGTAAAGTGTAAACTAATCAACGTGGAGCCAAACTTTTTTAAGTATATTCATAAACATTTCTTCAAGTCACAATGATGTCTCTCATAATTCCATAACCATAGTCTTATGTTGAAAATATAAATTATTTGTCTTCTGGGTGGTATTCACCAATTCTTTAGCGAGCATTACAAATGCCACTTTGGTATCTGAGTGGCTTAAAACAAATACAAAAACAAAAACAAAAACAAAATGACAAAACGACGCCGCTTAGTAACTGCTACGTCTAAAACGGCGTCGTTTATTAACTGCCTCCTCTCCCTTTATATATCCTCCTCTTCTTCCCCCTTCCCTTCCATTATTCTCTCTACATTTTCATAATTTTCTTCTCCTAATTTTCTTCTCCTCAACTTCAGATGCTGTAGCTTTTTGACTATTGAAGAGAAGGCTGAAGAGATCAGAACCAATTCTCTGTTTATGGCGTCTCTGATCTCAGATATTGAACCGCCGACGACAGATCTCGTTCGGAGGAAGAAAAGATCCTCTGTCTCCTCCGCCGCATCACCTAGTACAAGCGCAGCTTCCGTCTCCGGTGAGAGCCACGCGCGATGGAGATCGGAGAAGCAACAACGGATCTACTCAGCCAAACTGATTCAGGCGCTCCAACAAGTCCGCCTCAACTCTTCCGCCGCGACATCATCATCTCCAACGGCTCAGAAACGAGGCAAAGCCGTCCGTGAAGCCGCCGATCGAGCTCTCGCCGTTTCCGCTCGCGGAAGAACACTCTGGAGCAGAGCGATCCTAGCTAATCGGATCAAACTGAAATTTCGTAAACAGAAACGGCCGAAAACGCCGACGAAGATTCCGTCCATGACCACGGTGGTGAATAGCAGCAACAGATCGAGGACACGAAGAGTGTCGGTGTTGAGATTGAATAAGAAGAATATACCGGATGTTAACCGGAAAGTACGTGTTCTAGGCCGGTTAGTTCCCGGTTGTGGGAAACAATCCGTACCGGTGATTTTAGAAGAAGCAACTGATTATATTCAGGCTCTGGAGATGCAGGTCAGAGCCATGAACTCTTTAGTTCAGCTTCTCTCCTCCTACGGCTCAGCTCCTCCACCGATTTGATAAGGTTAAAATCGTCTTTTAAATTCTCCCATCATCATCTCTCTATCTTCTCTGTGTACACCAAAACTTTCATCTATAAATGTGTATATAGAAGATTCGGTTTGAGTATAATCTTGTAACTACTCTTCCCAAATCCTGATTCTTCTCTGCTATAACTAAACGTAAATTTTGAACCGAGTTAAGAAATCAATGAAGTCGTTAATTACCATTAAGATTAAAATCGTAGTGGATTATTTGATTTAAATTGATGAATACGTTATTTGCAGTTAGTGGAAAAATGGGTCTTTTAACTTCGTAAGATATGATAACTAAACTAATATAGAACTTTTGATGTACTTTTAGTTCATTCAATATGGCTTGTACAGTTGTACTATAAGAAATTTAACATGAAATAGATTTGTACTGCAATAAAGTGGAAAGAAACTAATTTCCCATTTAGATTTTTTTTTATTACATTATAGTAGGTGTAAGTAGATAATGGGTTAACTTAGTTTTGATTATGGTGGTAGCATTAGCATGTGATGATACATTAGAGAATGAATGATACATTCAAATTCATTGAATTGAATGATGAGATAGATCTGTCACTCAATCATCTAGTCGCTTTATTGTCCCTCCTTTGTATCCCATATTTGACACTTTTAGGTTGTTTGTCTTTCTTTTTCTTTTTTCTTACTTCACAAGGAATAAAAAAGAAAAAGAAAAAAAAAGAAGAAGATTAAATTAGCCAATTCTTCCCTGTTACACTAATCTGCAGTTCTGCATCTATATCCTTAATGTCACGAAGCAAAACTGACTAACCTATAGTTAAAATTTGGACTTTGTTTCATTAGCTTAATATACGAATTTCTGTTCTAGGGATATGATTTAAGAACACTGGAGTATGACTAAGCGACAACAAGAGAGAAGTGACGACAAAAGCAAAAATATTTAAACATAGAGAGAAGTGACCTTAAAAGCATGAGGAGGCACATGGGAGTGGCCATGCCTTTGTCCTCTTCTTTCTTTTTAAGCCTTCTCTTATTAACTTGCACGACAACTCTTTCAATCACATTTTCGTATGTTATATTATTGCCAAAATGGAGAAACTATTAGAGAAAATAAACCGCAATATTGTAGAATACACTAGGCTTGGTAATAATAATATATCAAGACGTAAGCAGGGGATTTAATGTACTACAAATTCTTTAACTTGACCTTTAATTTTTTCAGTAGGCCTATGAGAAAAGAAAACGAAAGCGGCATTTTCCGTATACAAAAGACAAGACTCACACTCTAGAGGACAATCGTCTTTTTCCCATATAAAACTCTGGCCATGGCGAACACAATTATGACCAAAGGAGCCTAATTCCCCCAAAATGATTTTTATATTTGGAAACTCTTGGAGGTTTCTCCTAGTCTTCAGTGCCGAAGATTTCACGACAAAGGAAGACTTGAAGATCTCGATACTCTTTTGTGCAACTTCGCCACCGCGAACAAGAGAGATCACTCCACAGAGATATGCGGCCGCTTTGTGTCCTTTAGACGTGGCTTTTGCTAGACATTCGATCCCTTTCTCTTCATCAACAATATTACTGTTTAGGTAAAAGCACTTCACAATTCATTCACGAACCAATGCTTCCGTGTTTCCGCTCTCTCTGCATGTCTTTAGAAAACTCGATGCTTTAGTTAGGTACTTAGGTCATCGTTTGCGGTTTTTATTTCGTCGAGGCAGACGTGTTCGAGAATTAACTTGAGGGTCGTTGCAGAGATTATGTAATGATTTGCATACGAGGCTTAGGTTGAACAAGCTTTTGTGTGAAGAAGAAGCCACGAGTGTTAAGATCTCCTTCACATCCACTTCTTCTGCGAGAGACTCCATTTTATAGTGCTGTGAGAAAAATTATTTTAGGGTTTTAACTTAGACGTTTGCTTATTGAATTGTGTGAATTTTAAAAATTTATAAGCGATAAGATCTTATCGTTTTTTCTAATTTATAGTTTTTTCTAGCTGAACCCTAAACCCTAAGTTATACTTTTTTCTAATCATTCTTAAATTTTGTCATGTTTAATTTACACATGTATTAATATCTTTTACAGATATATTTTTTTTCTACATATGTATACGACGTACTTTACAACTACATACACGATGAATTTTTGGAAAAACTTGCATTATTATTATATAACTCAATCTTAAGCAGTAATAAAACAACCGAATAAAAACAAAAACAAAAAAACAACCGAAGAGCTTTTAATACATCTACAATTATCTTAATTAGTAGTATATCTTATATATATATATATATATATATATAATTTTTTTATTAGTTCTTAGCAAAAAAAAAAAAGTTTTTACGTATATAACTCACAATGATTGACAGAAAAAAAAAACGTATATAACTCACACACGTAAAAGTCGATTACATTTAAATTGGAACTACGACACTATCTAGTGTTATCTGAATTTCTAGAGTGTGTTATTTACAAGAATTACAAAACGTTTTTTAATTAATCAATATCATCATTTTTGGGAATAATGAAAAAACAAATATAAACCTTTAACAGAAAAAAAAAAAAAAAAAAACAAATATACTAGGAATTAAGAGTTAATGATTTATAAAAACGTGTTCCGGAATCCGGAAGACCGAAAGATTTGGATAAGTAAGATATTCACAAATATAAATATTCGATAAATACAAGCGATCTTCTGGAACAGATCTAACAATTAATATATTTGGAAAATAAATAAAATGAGATCGGTGGCAATCAATAATAATAATGCTCAAGCGAAGACGTTTCGTGATAACTGTGAACATTAGAGGTTAAGTGACGACAAGTGATCGAGAGCGAGCCAAAAGGAGAAACTTACAAAAATGGCGAAACCAGAAGAAGTATCGGTCCCGATCTTCTCGTCCCTTGAGCCTGTCTACGGCGAAGGATCTCTGCTCCAAGAAGCTACGCAACGATTCGATGTTTTGAAGGCCAATTTCAACCATGTCTTCGGTGCTTCACCCCAACTCTTCGCTCGCTCTCCTGGTAAATATGGAATTTCGTTGACTTTGATGAATTGGTTTCTAATTATTGCAATTTTGGTATTTGGATGATGAGATCAGATGATCTTGTGTTCGGAATTGTTGGATATGATCAGGTGTTTGTTTTTTTTTTTCTTCTGTGTAGGAAGAGTGAATCTGATAGGAGAGCACATTGACTACGAAGGATACTCAGTGTTGCCAATGGCTATTCGTCAGGATACAATTATAGCGATTCGGAAATGTGAGGATCAAAAGCAGCTTCGGATTGCTAATGTTAATCATAAGTACACTATGTGTACATATCCTGCTGATCCTGACCAGGTAATGTATCTTTGTTGCATTGTTCTGTTTGTCACACACTATAGTTGAAGAATACTGCTGGCTTGCTTATCATATATGTTAATTTTGCAGGAAATTGACTTGAAGAATCACAAATGGGGCCATTACTTCATATGCGCGTAAGGGGTTTCGTTTGGTGCTCTCGTTTCCATCAGAAACTGAGAGATCTCACTTTTTTTCTTTTTTGTTGTTTTTGAGGTGCCTTGTGATTTTCGATTCTTACAGGTACAAAGGATTCCATGAATATGCAAAGTCAAAAGGTGTGAATCTTGGTTCACCAGTTGGTCTTGATGTGCTTGTTGATGGAATTGTTCCTACAGGTAAAGTTTCCAATAAATGCATCATGATACTTACGGAACAGAAAAATTTATCATTTCACTTTGAATCTTTAACTGGAGTGCCTTGCCTTTTAGGTTCTGGGTTGTCAAGTTCTGCTGCCTTTGTTTGCTCAGCAACAATTGCTATTATGGCTGTCTTTGGTCATAACTTTGACAAGGTATTATTAAGCAATCGTGCTCTACGAAAGGATTTTCATAAATCTCTTGTTGATTATTTAAATCTCCAAGTTCTCTCTGCCTTTCAGAAAGAACTTGCACAGCTTACATGTGAATGTGAACGACACATTGGAACACAATCTGGTGGGATGGACCAGGTCAGAATTTTTCTCAAATAATCCATGATTTATTTATTTACCTTCACCCATAATTGTCTCTGTTTCTGATTGATCAGTTTTTAATAATTTCAACAGGCAATCTCTATTATGGCTAAAACTGGATTTGCTGAGCTTATTGACTTCAACCCAGTCCGCGCAACTGATGTGAAACTTCCTGATGGAGGGAGTTTTGTAATTGCACATTCTCTTGCAGAGTCGCAGAAGGCGGTCACGGCTGCTAAGAATTACAATAACAGGGTCGTTGAATGTCGACTTGCTTCGGTTAGTCATTGCCTAAATTTTCTGCTGCAATATCTTAACTTTGTGTGGTAGTTGCATATGATTCTCTCTACTATGTGGCTTTGTAGATCATTCTTGGTGTGAAGCTCGGAATGGAACCAAAAGAAGCAATATCAAAAGTTAAGACTCTTTCTGATGTGGAGGGATTATGTGTGTCATTCGCTGGTGATCGTGGGTCATCTGATCCTCTTCTTGCTGTTAAGGTACTCATCAGTCATTCTTGATGTTAACTTATCGCTATATATGTTATTCAGTTAATATCTAATATTTTGAAAGGGTTTTATGCGTTCTTGTCTATGCTGCAGGAATATCTGAAAGAAGAACCATACACCGCTGAGGAGATTGAGAAAATCCTGGAGGAGAAATTACCATCAATCTTGAACAATGATCCAACATCTTTGGCTGTACTCAATGCTGCCACGCATTTCAAATTGCATCAGGTAAAATATACAAACCTGTAGAATATCGTTTTCTTTTTTCCCTGAGTCTTAACAATAATGGTCTGCTTACGATCATCAACAGAGAGCTGCACATGTTTATTCCGAAGCCCGGAGGGTTCATGGTTTCAAGGACACAGTTGATTCAAACTTAAGGTGAGACCGATTTTCGCCATGGAACTTGTGATTAAATCTTTACCGGAACCTTGATACTTTTGAAACATAAACTGCGTGCAGTGACGAAGAGAAGTTAAAGAAACTTGGTGATCTCATGAATGAAAGCCATTACAGCTGCAGTGTCCTATATGAGTGCAGGTGCATAAATTTAAGATGAAATGTTAAGAGTGAAACGGGTGAATGTGAAAAGGAATGATTTTGAATATGATGAAATCGTGCAGTTGTCCCGAGCTAGAAGAACTGGTTCAAGTTTGCAAGGATAATGGAGCACTTGGAGCAAGACTGACCGGAGCTGGATGGGGCGGTTGCGCCGTGGCCTTGGTTAAGGAATCTGGCGTTACTCAATTCATCGCAGCAGTCGAGGTAATAAATAGCGCTTCCTTATGGTCGTATAGCAGTCAAGGTAACGTTATTGTTAAATTATTTTGAAAGAAATGGAATGGTGGTATTTTATACAGGAGAAATACTACAAAAAGAGAGTAGAGAAAGGAGTGGTAAAGGAAGAAGATATGGAGCTTTACCTTTTTGCCTCCAAGCCTTCAAGTGGTGCTGCCATCTTCAACCTCTAAACACATCTCTCTCCCTCTTTAATTAATTTTTATTCAAATCTGAATTGTTTGCAGCAATTGTGCTCATTGAATTCCCAACTTCATTTCGTATAAATATTTTTGAATAATATGTAGGAGTTGACGACACTAATAAAATGAAGTTTCATTCACAACTTTTTTTTTTTGGTTATTCCAGAGTTTTATGCTGTAACTAGAAACGTACAAATTTTAATGTAATTCTTAATTCTAAATTTTTTATTATTTTCACTGTTTAATCCACCTGATAAACACTATTTTAGTAATTTACGAAATGATTATTATTTCTTCAAGTTGTAACTAATCGAGAAAATATGACGGGATCCGTGAGAATAGGCGTTACTTTACAGTTTATAAGAAATCGAGAGATTGATCAGACTCTGGCGATATCGTCATCAATGTCGTCCCCGCCGGAGAAGAAGAGGAAGACAGCGGCTTCAACGCCGCAATCGCAACCGACCTCGATTCAGTCGCTTCCCGATGATTTGGTATTGAGCATCGTCGCTCGCGTCCCGAGATTGTACCATCATACACTCTCACTCGTCTGCAAGAGCTTTCGATCTCTCCTAGTTTCACCGGAGCTTTACGAGGCCCGATCACTCTCGGGCCACATCGAGAGCTGTCTCTATCTGTGCATAGGATGCGATACTGATTATCGTATGTTCACACTCTGCCGGAAACCTGATCAAACCCTGACCAGTGAGGAGGAGAAGAAGAAATCAAATGGTTATGTTTTGGCTCCAGTCCCAGCTCCAGATTCTTATCCTGCCTACTTTTCGAGTCTCGTCGCGGTTGGCTCTGATATCTACAACATTGCCGGTTCGCACGGCTCCTCTCGCGTCTCGATTCTGGATTGCCGGTCAAACACGTGGCGCGAGGCTCCCAGCTTGGGCGTGGAGCTAACCTCAGTTTCAGCTACCGTCATTGATCGAAAGATATATGTAGTAGGAAGGTACACAGATGAGGAATCTATTTTCAAAAAGACTTCTTTGAGGTGTTGGACACAAAAACACAAACTTGGGATCCTCAGCCCTTCAATTGCAGCGAGACACAAGACAAGTTTTTCTCCTGCAGAACCGCATTTATTGACGGAAAGTTCCTCGTGATGCCTTTTACCCGTGGAGAGGCGGTTGCTTACAATTCCAAGGAAAGTAGATGGGACCCGGTTCAAACGAAGTTGGCTTGTATAATGTTGAAAGATTCGCATTGCCAGATAGGGAATGTTATGTATTGTTCTGTTGACGGAAGGATCAGATGGTGTGACACTGAGGTAAGCAGTTGGAGATTGGTCAAGGGTTTGCTAGAACTAGGTAACTTCCCTTGTGGTCCTTTTCGTGTTAAATTGGCTGATTATCGTGGAAACATAGCGGTTTTCTGGGTCAAGAATTTTCCTGATGATAACCAAAGGAAGATGATTTTGTGTGCCGAGATTGCGCTTGAAAGACGCACTAGTTTTGAGATTTGGGGGAAAGTTTTGTGGTTTGATCATGTTCTTACTGTCCCTACAGATTATGAGTTAATCAAGGCTCTTTTTTTGAATGCCTGAGTGTTCTTTTGGTGTATGCAACCATGATCAAGAATGACTCTGTCTCTTGTTTCACTTCTAATCATTTCATGTCAAAAAAGAAAAACACTAATAATAGAGTAGAGAAATGTATAACAATTGGGATTTAGTCAAGAGAAAAACACTAATGATAGAGTAGAGAAATGTGTAACAATTGGGATTTAGTCAAGAGACATTTACAAATCAGAAGGTTAAAATTCAAACTAGTTTCTTCCTGCAAACAAACAGACAAAAGAGTCTAAGAATCATTACTACTAACATAACCTAACATTTAACCCGCCATACCATCAGCTTCTCTGTTAGCCATCTTCTGATACCCAACCACATAACCAGGCAAATGATGTGAGTAAACCGGTACATTATTGCATTGCTTATTTTCCCGGATTCTCCAACAAGTCTTTGTCACCTTCTTGCTTCTGTTGTTGCTAGCACACTCACCATTCTTAGGCAGTTGAGACTCTTTTACAACCGATAACTGGATTCTACCAACTGGTCCCTGGAAGCTTCCACTGTTGAGATTCTTCAGAAATTCTGTCTCCACAGATTCAATGTCCGAAACATTTATGGTTCTGAGCTGTAATCCCCAGTAAAAGACAATGTTTGGCTGCTTTGTATAGGTTTCAACATACTCTGTTGGGTTTGGATCGCAAATGCCATAAACTTCCTCTATCTGCATTAAAGATGAGATGAGAGATTTTCAATAACATGTGGAATAAAGCAAAGGCCATACTATGAGACAGACCACATAACAGGCTACGTGTTGGTAAGATTTCATATCAAAAGAGTTGAACCAAAGATGGGAAGTGCGTACCTTGCTCAGAAGACAACGGAAACGTGACTTAACCCAACCAACCCAATCACTGAGATCTTCCTGGTTAGCAGCCGAGAGGTGTATTTTGGTGAACCACGTGTATGTGTTTTCGTATGGATAGAGCTCAAACAAATTCTTCCAACTGAAGTTGGGCTTCAAGTAATCCTGAAATTTGCAATCGTAAGTGTGTGGGATAAGACCAAAAACATCATAAAATGGCTCGAAATACGGCATTGCTTGAGTGAAAGCCAATGCACATAAACCTCAGGCAAGATCCAAACATGATATTACCCTACAACAACCACTACTTGGTTATATGGAACACTGAGAAAGTAAGATTCCCACCTTTGTCAAATTATGCCCTCGTAGAAACTCTGCCATTATCTTGTAAAAAGTGCTTCTTGTTATGTTGGAGTTGCAGTATTGATGTGAACCACATGGCAATTGGATGGGCATTAAGCCTGGAGGAGCCCCAGTCGCTGGATAAGTGTCCTCTAGCAGCACCACCGGTGTAGGCCATTGCCAGTGAGCAAATATGTAGAAGAAATTTGCCAGAAGGGAACTCAATGTTGCATTCGATTCGTATCCACAAACAAATGCAGCAAGAATAGCCATATGAACTCCTCCTAGAAATCCATTCAACTGAAAACAAGTGGAATCAAATTCAATTAAGCTTCTGCATTCATTGATAGCCTTGATGATGAGCAGTGATATGCATTTACCACTTACATTACCGTATACACCTCGCCTCTTTGCCCATAATTTGACACACCGCAGCAATGATTGGAATAGCTAAAACAGGAATAAAATTTTCAATAAGCAGAAGTTGATTACCATACACAGTCTGTAGCAACAATGCTGAGAAATTGAGGAAAGAATCAAGTTATTCTGACCTCTAAGGAAGGCACTAACTGAAGTATGCATTTATTTGCACGAACTCCAGACAAGCTTTTCCAACTTGTCTCGTCAATATCCCTCAGAAAGAAAGGATTAAGCACATCTACATTCTGAAGTGCTCAGAGTTAAATTCCGAACAAGATAATTTAGTGTCTCTAATTAAAGCAACTAGAAGTATAGAAAGTTATGAATACGAACGTTTGGAATGGATAATACTCTAAGCTGAGCATATGGAAGATCAACCAAGATCCCATCAAACTTAAAGCGGATGAGAGGAACTTTTGCATCTTTAACACAATGAACCTCGGAAACTTCTCGTCTGCTTTTCAACATATCACGCAAGGAGATGAAAAAATCCTCCTGTACCAACAAGAGAACAATCTCAAATCTACGGAAAAAACAAAAGTGATTCAGATCATTCAACGGAACAAGGAAAACTCACAGAAATAGAGGCAAAGAAAGGACCAATGCAGAGAGCGTCGATGTCTGATTCAGAACCATAAACCTGGATGACAAGAAAGACAACAACAGTTAGCTAAAACAGTTTCACCATTACATATTCTTCAACACTTCTTAACAGTTTATGTTTACTAAAACAAATATAATAAAGATTTGGAAAAAGAAACAAGTGAAAGAGAAATCACCCCAAGACCATAAGAACCATAAGGTAAAATGGTGGCGTTGGTGGCGTCAATCTGATTTTGTGGAAGACGGTGTTGCCAGGCAACATTCTTAACCCATCTCACCACTATCTGTTCATTAAAAGCTCAGAGACATCAATCACTGTCTAACTACTCAAGAAACAAAATCGAATGTACCTTTCGTAGCTTATTGATGACAACTCTTCGTTTCTCCTGATCTTCAAGAGATGGAATCAGTCCTTCATTAACCATCAGCTACGAAATTTTGAAAGAAAGTGAAAGCTGTGTTTTTTTCTCAAGTCCTTAAATTGGGAATCAGTAAAACCTAATTTTTACCTGACGAAGCGAAATCGAGCTTCCATCTTCCATAGAAGGAGGAAAACCTAGGGACAAGACCAGAGCCGTAATGTGAGGAACAAGAATCACGCGAGGAAGAAAGGGTTTATCGGAGAAAAAGCGAAATCAGCGATTATACAAAAAAGAATCGGATAAAACGCGACGATGATCCAAGACATTGACGATATTGACAATTTGCATAATCCGCCATTACACAAAACGAAAACACAGCAAAGAAAGAAAGAAAGAAGATTTTGCCGGGAAAAAGGACTAACCTTTATTTCTCCCACCTCCCTTTTTCATTTCCAGGAATGTCAGATTTTCTTGCCTTGTTTTCCGAGAAAAATCTTTGCAGAAAAACAAAGAAGCAAAATTGGTGATTACGCAGTTTCTTCTCTAGTCTCTCCGCTTCGCCTTTTGTTTTCAAGTTTCAAACGACTAAAAATTGCCTTATATCCAGCGCAGCTATACATTTGGTCCCACCAAATCATTGACGTGGAATAATGTATTACATTTTTAATATATAGTATTATCTAACTTTATTTCTCTAATTAAGTATATTAATTATATGATAAGAGTTAATTGAGATCATTTTGATTCTCAAAGTCAAAATATACATGGATCCTAAAATCAATTAGTATACGAATATGTACAGAGCAGAGTCCGAAGCTAAATCTAATGTCGGTGAATAAAATTCCAATTGTCTTACTCCAAAATGATTGCATGTTACTAGTAATAAACTTATTACTTAATGTAGTTTGACTATTTAAGTCTAAAGAAACGCGTCTTTGACACAAGTCCACATCGCATCAGCCTCCTATGTATTAAAGTTAAGATGAAAGTAAATGAAAATATGACTCTTAATCTCTTATGTTATAAGATGGTTATTCGTACGATACACTTCATCATCGAGGATTGTGATTCAAAATGATCCACTCTTCTAATCGTTGACTGCAATGAGATAAGGTTCGTTGCAATGTCACACAAAATATTGGAGTGTGGTTATTCCCGGTTTAGTTTAATTTATCTTGGTTATGTTAACCGAAATTGTATAGCTTTAGTATACTTGTATAAATACTTTGTACATATACATTTTACAATCTAATGAGAGATAAACATTCATAACAAACTTTCTCATCTTCTTCTCTCTCACGTACAGAGCCGTAGCTTAATAGAAGCAAAGGAAGCAAGAGCTGCGGCCCTTGTTTAGTTTATAAATGTTTTCGGCCCTTAAAACAATAAGATTGACTTTAGCCTAGTGGCTTTGTCCGATAGCCTCTCCAACAAGTGACCCAGAGTTTAATGGTTCAAGTCTCTTTAACTGCTTTTTTTTTTTTTTTTTTTTAACACGTGACCAAAAAAATAAATAAAAAAAATAATTAAAACACAAAAAAAAAAACTAAACAACGACATGATTATTATACATTTTTTTTAGAACGGCCTTTTTTTTTTTTTCGCATGTGGCCCTCAAAATCGTTGCTACGGCTTAAAACAATACAAAATGTGAAAATCTTGATACATATAATCTTCAGAATCACCACTCAAAATAACATCCAGAAATCTATATACGTCCTTCTTATTTTGAATTTTATACAAACTGAAATCTCAAAATGTAATGAGAATAAACACACACACACAAAAAAAAAAAAATGTAATGAGAATCAAAATGTATGATCCAGCGAGTGTAAAACAAAATATTATATTGTCTCCTTATTATTTTTAGTTGTCTAGTTCTTTTTTTTTTTTTTTTAGTTCTTATTACGACACCGATCTGATAAAAACGTTTATTTGATTGTTAAAATCTCACTGCACGATGACAACTTTTATTTTGTATCCATGCAAGCATTCCTTTTCTATTAATGGCCCCCGATTTTGATAGAAGAGCATAAAAAACCAAAAATGGTATTTTCATACCAAATTTATTGTTGGTTTTAATTTGTAATTAAATTTGTCGGTTAGTAATTTTTGTACTATTTTTTTTTATTTTTGTGGGAGTATAGAGTTAGCTAGCTAACCGCTCAAAACACTTGCGCATTACACAGTTCCACTCGTTCCTTTGAAGCTTATCTGTGAGTCTAATTTGTTTGTTACTATAATAGGAACGAAAGAGAACCGATTAGTATCTATACTTGATCCAATATCGGTTTCTCTTCTTCAATTTATCACTAGATCTACCAGATCTGGTTCAGGAGCGAATCAAATTGGTGGCAAAGTTTAGTTTTGGAAAGTTACGAGTGTTTGGAGTTTGAAATCCGACGATCTCTGATCGGAAATGGCGATTTCAAGCCCTGTTACACCTGGGCTAGTACGTCTTTTGATTCCTTTGAATTAGATCTTGCTTGATTTAGCTTCTTCTGAGAACTAAGGTTCTTCTATTGAGTTGTTTGGTAGTGATATACGTACTGAGGGTGATTTGTTTGTTTTTCCTGGAAATTGCAGATGTCGGTGGTTCTCGGGATTGTGCCGGTGATCGTGGCTTGGCTATACTCTGAGTATCTGCACTATGCTAAACACTCGGTCTCCGCTAAAACGTATGTTGATACAACGTTTTTAAGTGGTAATGAACTTTTGCTTTGATTTCTCACTTGGGTGTTGTTTATGTTAGTAGGCATTCTGATGTCAATTTGGTGGAAATTGCGAAAGATTTTGTTAAAGAAGATGACAAAGCTCTTTTAATAGAAGATGGAGGTGGTCTTCAATCAGCTTCTCCTAGAGCCAAGGGCCCAACCACACATTCTCCTCTCATCAGGTTCCATTACTTCTTCCGAAGCAACCACTGACCTCTGTAGTTTTTTTTTCTTATGCTTATATGCCGGGTTCTACGCAGGTTTGTCCTCTTGGATGAGTCGTTCTTGGTTGAGAACAGGCTGACTTTAAGAGCAATGTGAGTACTGGGTTCTATTTGCTAGAGTAAAGTTTTGTATTTTCAAAGGTCCATTATCCTGAAGATTCCCATTTTATCTAACTTATTTTGTTTTGTATGCAGAATTGAGTTTGCGCTACTTATGGTATACTTTTACATATGTGACCGCACAGATGTCTTCAATTCATCAAAGAAGGTGATGATGATATCCTGCTTACTAGATTCTGGAAAGATTTATCTAGCTAGTTACAGAGTCTTTACATTGTTCAGCAACATCTTATATACACTTGTCTTTTATCATTAAGATGGAAAGAATAGACCCCATAAGATTTTGAATTTGATGAACTATAAAGGAAAGATTGTTAATTTGATATGTCATGATGGATGTCCTGCTTATGTCGGTTCATTCCTGCATACTTCTATGTGTCTGACTGCTTACGTTGTTTTTGACACAGAGTTACAACCGGGATCTCTTTCTGTTCCTTTACTTCCTTCTCATCATCGTTTCAGCGATAACTTCGTTCACGATACATAATGATAAATCTCCATTCAGCGGAAAAGCCATCATGTACTTGAATAGGCATCAAACCGAGGAGTGGAAAGGCTGGATGCAGGTTTGTCATTTAACTTTTATGTTAGTAGTTTGCTCTTCGTTTTGGTACATGTCTGTTAATGCATCAGCTGGGAAATATTATTTCAGTTTTCAGAGAAGCATCTAGTGTTCATTGTTTTATCTGCCTTTTCATTTGCTGTTACCTCATCATTGTTTTCTTTTTCTGGTGTTGTAGGTCCTTTTCTTGATGTACCACTACTTTGCTGCTGCAGAGTACTATAATGCGATCCGTGTTTTCATTGCTTGCTATGTATGGATGACTGGATTTGGGAATTTTTCTTATTATTACATTCGCAAGGACTTTAGTCTTCCAAGGTTTGCACAGGTAACAGCTATGTCCTCCCGGCTTTTTTCTTGTTTCTAGCTGTCACCTACTTTAAATTCTATCATATTCTTGTTCTACAGATGATGTGGCGGCTAAATTTCCTGGTCATATTTTCCTGCATCGTCCTCAACAACAGTTACATGCTATACTACATCTGCCCAATGCACACTCTGTTTACTCTGATGGTCTATGGAGCACTTGGCATTATGAACAAGTATAATGAGATGGGTTCAGTCATAGCTGCCAAATTTTTTGCCTGCTTCGTTGTTGTTATCATCGTTTGGGAAATTCCGGGCGTTTTTGAATGGATTTGGAGTCCTTTTACACTCCTAATGGGTTAGTGACGACCCAGATCTTTGTTTACCATTATAAACAATGTGCTCACGCCTCACAAGAAAGCTATTTAAAATATAAAAAACTCAGAATACAACAATTGCAGGTTACAATGATCCCGCAAAACCACAGCTTCCCCTCTTGCATGAGTGGCATTTCCGCTCTGGCCTTGATCGGTACATATGGATAATCGGGATGCTATATGCATACTACCACCCAACTGTAAGTTCCCAATACTTGAACTTCACATCAACTCTGTTCACAAATTGTTAGCTTAGTGATAAAGACTTACCATATTCCGTCCTTCATTTCCTTGACTATGTATCTTATAGGTTGAAAGTTGGATGGATAAACTGGAGGAAGCTGAGATGAAGTTCAGGATGGCTATCAAAACAACTGTGGCACTGATAGCACTAACGGTATTACAAGTCATCATTTCACTTTTTTCAGGTGAAAGAAGCCTTGCATATATATTGTTCTTCCAGCTAATCTATCTTTGTTATTATGAAACTTTTAGGTGGGATATTTTTGGTACGAGTACATATACAAGCTGGACAAGCTAACTTACAACAAATATCATCCTTACACCTCTTGGATTCCAATAACGTAGTCCACTTTACCTGCAAAGCTCTATACAACAACTCTTCCAAGAACCAGTCCTAACTTGTGCATCTCGTTTTGCTTTTCTTTCAGTGTTTATATTTGTCTCCGGAACATCACCCAGTCTTTCCGCGGCTACAGTTTAACCCTTCTGGCGTAAGTAAAAAAATATTTCAGTCAGTAGATATATTTGTCCTCTTATTTAGATTGTTCCAAGAAAAATATGTCCATGAACTTTCAGGTGGCTTGGGAAGATAACACTGGAGACATATATCTCCCAGTTTCATATATGGCTCAGGTATGTCACACTTTTTCTTGCCCAAGTTCTCAATTGTAGAGTAAGTCGGAAATTGATGGTTGAGAATGCTACTACAGTAAGCTATTAATATTTTTCTTGACCCATTGAACTATGAAATAATGTAATTTACCCACAGATCTGGAGTTCCTGATGGTCAACCCAAATTACTACTATCTCTTATCCCGGAGTACCCATTGTTGAACTTCATGCTCACTACTTCGATTTACGTCGCTGTAAGCAAACCCTGCTACAACAGAAACATTTGAAAGCCAGACAGATGCAAACAAACTGATTGACGTTTTGTTTCTCTGTTTCAGATCTCTTATAGGCTCTTTGAGCTTACCAACACTTTGAAAACAGCCTTCATACCAACAAAAGACGACAAACGCCTTGTC